ATTATTATTATTATTATTATTATTATGCCAGGAAGGAAAACCACAGCCCACTACACAAGACTTTGCTGTCAAACAAAACTTGCCACTATATATTTCTGTGGCATTATTTACATATATATACACGTGCCATTTAAAACCAAATCAACTCCTCCTATACTACTATACTTCTAGCTAATTCATAATATTGGAAAATTTTACTCAACTGGCTATTTAATGAATAGGGTACAATGCAGCATTTTAAAACAAGGGCTGCCTATACAGCTTAGTCCAGTTGATTAAGAAATGAGTTTTCTTTCTTTGTGTATCAATTGTGGATTTTCTGAATTTAGAGTTCATTGAAAGGTCTATGTCTATCAAAGCCATAAAATATGAGATTATGAGTAATGGGAAAAGAGAAATTCAAAACTCATAATTTTTTTTTTTCACTTAGTGGATGTTACCATCACTTTAACCAAAGGATAAAAAAAAAAAGTGGTATATTATGAGGCAACTTTTGATGAAATAATATTCTCTTTGTTCATCTTTAATTCTTATCAAAATTAAGATAAAAATTTTGATTTTAATGTTTTTATATTAAAATTTTAAATTTTTTTATAATATAGATATCAATATTTTTAACATAAAAAAATAAATTTTTTAGTATGGAATATCTAAATTTTGAAAAAAAGAATTATATATTCTAAAACATTTTAAAAAATTATATAAAAGAAATAATATAATAGAGAAATCATGACAACATGTAACCGCTTTTGTTTGTGATGTGACTGTGAGTAGCACTTAACCTTAAAGCTTGTCAACCACGATAACGCCACTAGTTGTTGTCAGCAACACGACTTGTCCATTAATTATTCTCTAATTACAAAGATATTCACATATTCATGGATACAGACACATCAAATCATGCATGTTCCAAACTCAATTAAACCAACTAAAACTGTTGTGGTCATTCCCACAATTGGGAAAATGAAGCTCATATTTACACTGAAATGAAGGTGGACAATAATGTTGGGCTGTTCATGTATTGTATACATTCCTGTTAAATGTAGTAATGAAAAGGAGAGGGAATTCTTTTCATTAAATATTCACATAATTAGTTAGTTTTCTCTAATTTTCCAGATGAAGTTAAAGGAGTCTGGCATATATAAAATGAAAATGAAAAAGATACATATGTAGAAGTGGGTGAGCGTGATGTCTACCTTCATCATGGCAGAGACCCAGAATCGACGTCCGCTGGCATTGGTTCCGATGATGGTAGTGAGGGGCTGAGTCCGGACCTTATGCAATAACCAGAAATGATAAGCTACGGTCATCAGAAGGCCTAATGGCACCAAAGTAATGTCCAAATAACATGATCTCCACTCCATCTTTCTCTCTCTCTAGCTCTCTCCCTTGCCTTTAGTACTGCTATTGGTTTAGTGATCCTACTAAGAATTAATCTGGGACCTAGACTCCTTTTTATAAGGCTTTGAAGGGAGTTGAGTTTCACAAATGGACACAGTAGCATTTGATGCACTTGGACCTGTTTGAACGCGAAATTCAATCCCACAAAACAAACCAACCCACCTGCTCCTTGTATTGCTATTTCCTACTACTTTAAAGCAAACCCCTTTTTCTCTTTTCTTTTTTTTTTATTAATAATAAATTTATGGACGCAACTCAAGCCTAATTATTTGCGGGACGACACATTTGTCAATTGTCTCATTCCCCACTTTACCATATTATTATTATATATGTGTGTGTGTGTGTCTCTCTCTCTCTCTCTCTTTTTATCGAAATAATTTTTACTTTTTGCATGCATGCTCTCGGCTAACATTTAGCCATTAGCATTTCCTACATTTACCATGACAGAATCTGTCCATAAGCATGAGCAGGTATATTGTATATGCGCACAAGTGAGAGAGTTTAGTTGGGCATCCTCCAAGGTAGGCAAAACGCATTATGAGTAGCAGATCAGAAGCTAGGTATTAAGAAAGGAATAAATCTCCATCATCTACAGCTACAATCTCACTATATACATAGTCATTCTCACCCTCACTGATAGTTACCTATCAAATCCAAATATTAAAAAGCATTTTAGTCGATACAGTTGGAATTCTAGAAATATATATTTTTCGAATCTCTAAAAGCTAAAGCATAAATACAAAATTAATGTAATCAGTTGTCACTGGCTAGCTAGGGTGATTCAGGTACAAACTAAAGAGAGAAGAGAATACCAGTAAAATTAGGTAAGGAAGAAAGATCAGAAACGGGATTGTAACTGGGAAAGGCAAAGTAGAAAGTTAGAGAGTCCAAAGGGTGATTGATCGAGAGAGTGAAAATCTGACAAAGCGCAGAGATGAACAAGTGATAAGACAGAGACAGAAAAGGAGAGATGAATTGCTCCAAGCCCAACCCACGACTTTCTCCTGAGTCAAGGTGACACTCAATTCACACAAATCACAAGGAAATGAAGGAATGTGTTTGCTTGCGTGAGTGTATGTGTTTGCACGCATTAACTTCAAATATTAGAAATCTTCCTTGCGAAGAATAACTTAAGAGAAAGAAAACCGTTTCAGGGTTGGTTCGGCATGGACGAAGAGTTACGTTCAAATTAAACAAACCACACAAGTTTTCCATCTCATCTGTCCATATATAGTGGACGTTACAACTTAGAATAGTGGTATACACGTGTGCGGAACTCTCTTTCAACTTTGAAGCTGATCAGGACCGAGGATTAAGGATTGATCAGGAGGATTCTTCACCACCTATTGTTTCTTACATTATATTAATGTGCATATATATATATATATATATATATATATCTCAACTCCATTCACGGCAACCTAATTAATATGACCTAATACCAACTTTGTCCAATTTAAGAATTGGAACCAATTGCTACATATACATGAAAATAATCCCACACTGCTGCTCATTGCTTAATCTAATTTAGATGGAAACTACTTATAAACCCATACAAAAAGGATGATCCTGTGTTACAACACCATATAAACAAATTAAACATAAATCATGAAACTGTTAGGTGGAATCTTGGGTTGGGTTCTTATCAGTTGTTTACCCTTGTCCACCAGAATCAATATATTCGGTTAACATGATGTAAACATATGATGAAATTCTGGTTTATTCTTGATTCTTGAAAGAAGAGGAACTATCTACGTTGTCTTTGAATCCGATTCAGCCTCCACCATTTGTCAAATATTCCATTAAAGAATCATTTCTTGACATGGCCTTCATCTATTCCTTTAGTTTTGACAGGCCGTTCTACCTTTTTTCTTTTCTGGAAATTTCTTCTACATATGAATCCACAATTATTCTCGGAATGTTTCATTAATATCGCCTTTCTTATCAATTATCCAGGTAACAAGTAGTAGTTATTAATTATTTCAACTACCTTTGCTTTTTCTTTTCTTTTTTGAATGTTTGCATCTCATGATTCAGTCTAAATACAAAACAATTCATGCTTATCAAAATATTATTCTAATTTAAAATATAAAAAAATCTTTTTTATTAAGGATTTATCATACCCTTAATATTTCTTTACAGTGAAACATATATTTACTCTAAAATTAATTGACATCAAGATAGAATATACATGTACGTCTTTCAATTTATTATACATCAATCTAAGATATCTTTAATTTTAATAAATTATGATTTAATAGTCACAAAAACGAGAATGCTTGATTTGAGTGAGATGATGTCCGGTTGATTTGAGTGAGATGACATCAAGCCATTCCCTAGCTAGGCTAGCCAGCCATGCTGCTGCTATCATGAAATTATATACGAGTGCCGAGTAGTAACTCTTTTGGTCTCCAATGGTGTTGGAATCCATGAGAAAAGGGGGAAGAAAGGAAACCTCTGATCTAATGAGCAGTTTGCGAATTGCAACCTTTTGCTTCTTCTTCATTTTTTTTTTGTTTTGGTTATCTTTCACTTAAACACCTATGATTCGATTGGATGTTGATGCTTTTCTGATTCATATCCTTTTGAGATTTATAATGTTAAATATATGAAGTGGGCATATTTACTTGTTTAAGTATACAATGGCAATTCGTTGTTATGAATCATAGGGTATAAAATCTCTTCCTTTTCACTATGGCAAAAATATAATTAAGGAACATATATAGGTTTAATTTGGGCACAACAAATTCTTGAATGATTATCAAGTCTAGCTAATGGAAGGGCAGGAGAAGTAATCTTGGATCTTATTAATTAGCCCTCTTAATTTATTAGGAACAATTAACAAATGTTGAGCCACGTGTCTATTGTTTGTGAAAGATTTCTCATTAATAGGGTTTAGTACTGGAAGGGATTTGAATGATTGTTGTAGTTGGGTTTCCTTTTTCCATTCAAAGTCAAAAAAAAGAAAAACCAATAAAAAGAGAAACAAAAAAAGGAAGGGATAAAGAGGGAAAAAGATGAGAGACAATACACATATAGTTTATATATATATATAGTTGTTGTTTATGATGATAACCTTTGCTATATAGTACATACGATAGTAAGTAGCCATGCAAAATAATAGTGGGAAGCGCATTAATACATATGACCAAAAAAGAAATATCAAAAGGGACATATGGTTCATCATCAGCAAAGCAATAAGCTGCAAAAAAGGCTTTTGTTTTTTTATCTCAACACTATTATGCTACCCTTTGAAACTTTCTTTCTTCGGATTTTTTTTTTTTTTTAACGTCTACCCTTTGAATTCGAAAGGTAAGTAATCTTCTTTGATTCAATGAAGAAAAAAAAAATGGAAGAAGGGAATGTGTGCAAGAATGATATGAGCGTGGCCAACGCTTTAAGGCAAAGTCGGGGGTGTCCTTTGTTATGCTGTCAAGGTGGGGTTCCAACTTCCAACAAATGTCCTTTGAAATCCAGATAGGACCATATTCAATGGCAAGTGCTCCCGAAAATGAATTTGGGTTTCTTTTACAAAGTTCTCAAGTATTTTTTCAATTCAATCCATGTAATCTAAGTCAATTACGTTTAATGGTGGGTTTATCTTTATTTTTCACTTTCTCTTTTGTATGCATCATCAAAAAGAGCTGCTTGCATTTGAGTTTTCCCTTTCATAAAGAAATTTCTTTTTTCTGCAATAAAAATAGAAAGAAAAGTGGCTTTGGTCTTTGATCTTTGATCTTTTCCTTTTCCTTTTCCTTGTGCTCTAAAAAGAAAAAGCTTGCTTGTCCGGACGCATCACTCAGGATGGGACAAGACCCCAACATGCGCCCCTGCCCCCCATACAAACCCATTCAATTTCAAAAACAAAGGAAACCTAGGATTGAGAATTTGAGTTGGATTCGACAGTCGTTCCCAAAGTTTTGGATCCAACATTGGGCCCCCCAGAAATAAGCCCATTTTGAAAATCGTAGTTGCTGCTGGTATCACAGCACATGAACACAGCTGCAGCTTCCAAGTTCCAAGACACATGCTTGTCGACTTCACTTCAATGCTTCTATTTCTCTACATCTCCTTTATTTTATATCTATATTTTATTTGAAACTTTTAATTAATCCTGGCATGGTATATGGATCTGGTCAAATAACTTCTTTTTTTTTTTTTACATTAATCAAGATATATAGTATTAATTAATGAAGTTATGAACTATGAATTGTAAAATTCTTTCACTAATATTTTTGACTTAGACAGTTGAAGCAAAAATTTGAGTCCTTCCTAGTTGTATGACACTGACATCCGTCCAAAGTATACTCAGAAAATTAAAAACAACGTATTTATAATTAATTAAATAGAATCTTTTCACTTATTAGCTTAAGTAGATGTGACTAGAAAATTAAAATTTGAAACAGACAGAGAGAGAGTGTGTAGATTAGTATTTAGTAGTCTTACCTAAAAGATCATACGCAAAAAGTCCAATAATACATAGATATAGAATTAGTTGCAAATTCCGAGTGCTGTTAATAGCTATATGATTATGATGTACCAAATTTTTAGAATGTGTTATGAAAAGAAAATTAGGACAGCTATGTACTCCATTTAGTAGTATATTTGTTTAGTGTTAATTATTTGATTTGCCATTGATATCTTCAACAATCATTTGGAACTTAATTTCATTCCATGAAAGGTTACGGATTAATGCTTAATTAATACTTACTCTTTGATTAGTTTATTATGGTCAGAATTAATGTACATAGCATTAATTATTTTTGGGAGAGTAAATTTATTGTTAGAAAATAAAAAAAGACGAAATTTATGCAATTAATTCACTCTGAAAAGTATATATATATATATATATATATATGTAGCAATGCATCAAAAACTAAACAAATTAGTTTAGATGAGTGCAAGATCACCTACTGATTGAAATTTGAAGAACCAATCAGCAGCAAATGTCAGCTTTTGGTGTTAATTTTCCTCAATTATTTGGATGATTAGTAGTGAGTAGTACAGTTGCGTTGCATGTGAAGGTTTCTCTGAATTAGTTGAAAAAAGCAGCTAAGCAAATTAAGAGCCTGGGAGTGCGGATCACGTTAGCCTTGCCATTCAAGCGCTGCGTTGCCTCCTTGATTATCATGGTTTAATCAATTTGTGTTGTCAGGATATGTATTTTAATACTGATTGGATGCATCTCTACTTTAAACCTGCAGCAGGTCAGGCTAAAAGCTCACATGAATGGAAATTTGTTTAAGCGAATACCCATGCAGACATTTCCTAATGAATTCAGTTCAAGTAGCCACCTCATCTTAATTTCCTTCGATAGCGAATCCGGAAAGAAAGCATGTTAATCACTGTGAAGCCTTTCAAACCCAGGCGTAGGGTTCTGCAAACCTTAATATCTAGGGTATGGCGTAATGCTGTATCCACTTTCACATGGGTTGAAGCAAAATGCAATTCCCTATTTCACGACAGTCTAGGCAAAGTGATTCTACTGCTAAATTGACTAATTAAACAAGTGATATCATATGCGGGTACAGGTGAAGTGTACGAGGTGGCTTTGACTGTTGGGGCGGTTTGCATTGGAAAAATTCGTCTTTAAGCACAGTCGGAGAATCTCAGTTGAAGGGCATTGTTACTATTAGTATTTTATTTAAATACACTAATCCATGCCGACTGCTATTTCATTAATTAATGCAGCTTCTCACCCTTTCCCCGTATTTACTCAAGTCTCAGGATAAAACAAGCAAAACTTTGATGGGTTTTCGGTTTAATAAACATTAACCCAAAAGTATAATATTAATAATCTATTCTTAAAAACAAAATAAGAAAAAAAAAGGGCTTCTGCAGTTCATACTTGAGACTCGTAGATGACCCCAGAGTGAAGTCCCAACCTCTATAAATTCAAAGCGCCGCTGCCCATTGGCAAGAGAGCTGCATGCACATATAGCAACCGGCAGCAGCAAGCGGTAACAGAGGAGGAAAAAGGAGAGCGGTAGGAAAAGTGCTATGGATTCCAGCAAGTCTAACAAGATCAGAGAAATTGTGAGGCTTCAGCAAATCCTAAAGAAATGGAGAAAGCTTGCGAATACATCAAAATCTAGTGGCAACTGCAACAGTAGCAGTAAGAGCATCAAGTTTCTGAAAAGGACACTCTCACTGTCAGATAACTCCGTCCGTGAAGCATCGAGCAATACCGTCCCAAAGGGCTACCTAGCTGTCTCTGTAGGAGAAGAGCAAAAGAGGTTCATTATACCCACGGAGTATTTGAGTCACCACGCATTTCACCTTTTATTGAGAGAAGCAGAAGAGGAATTCGGGTTCCAGCAGGCTGGTGTTTTGAGGATTCCTTGTGAAGTATCCATCTTTGAGGGCATCGTAAAGATGGTTGAGGAAAAGAAAGACTTATGCTTCATGCAGGAATCCCTGGGATACTGCGCATCAGAAAGTCAAAGAACTCCATCTCACCATCCCCAGAGCCCATTGTGCAGATAGCTTCTCCTAACATTCCATCTTTTGTAACGTTTGTCACCTTTTTTTTTCCCTATGAGTATTATAAGGTGATCATGTGTCATGTACGAAGGAGAGAGGAACATCACATAAGTCGTTGTACTACTGTAAGAGAAAAGTGTAAGAATTGATTGAAAGAGAGAAGAGAACTTCGATTTCGAAATTGACTGTCAGTCTCATTTGTCCTGGATTCATAAGAAAGATCAAAGAAAATCCCGTCCTATACATAAATCGTATAACTTTTTCCAACTCATAGTGATTTCCATAACAAGGGTTTGGTTAATGACTCTTCAGTTTTTATTTGGTGTCAACATTGAAACTATCTCAGATGCTACTTGAAGTACTCGTACATTTGAAGTGCTGAAGTCCTCTGCCTCCCTCCGGGGTTGCATAACAAGAAGTCCTCTCTTGGCCAACGGGAAAACAGATTAAAGAAGAAAAGAACGCACTTATTCAGGTTTCATACGTTCTGCTAAACCAATTGCTTGTTAACTTAGAAGCCAAGATCTCACCAGCTTCTATCTTTCAATGCCTTTAAACTCTTACGGAGTCTGGATAAGGAACATTTCAGAAACAGCTTGTGCAATATAATATAAACTTCTGTTTGAGACTGGAATACTAACATAAAGGAGAAATAATTCTTTTACTCGAAAAAGCCAAAAGGGAATTAATGCTGCTTGATCAGTGGCATGTGCTTCTTCTTTCAAGTTATGGCAATATCTTCTTAACCGTAAGTACCTAACAACTCCCCCTCACGAGATGCTTTTGAGGAAGCTTAATGATATGAAATGAAACTAAGTATACAGCTAAGCTAGATTCAGCAACAAGTACTGTACGGGTGAATGCTTACAGATTAATGTCCTGTTCTAGCTGTCTCTGATCAATATATCAGCAACCATTATTACCACGTGGGATTGTGTCCTTGTTATTCAAAATCGTCAAAAACAAGGACTAAAAGATGTGTTTACAATGGCAAGTGCAGTATTCAATGTGTTTCATTACGGAAATGATGATTTGAAGGCTATTCTATTAGCACTGATATCAACTAGAGCTGCATGATAAAAACTGAAATTCTGACACCTTTCTAACTCAATCTCATGCATCCATTCATTACAAACTCAAGGGGAGCATAGCTAGCCACATGACTCATCACCCTTTTTTAACAACTTAACACACAAGCATTTATCATATGATCCTGACCAATAGCATTGAGTCAAATTCAACACGCTTTGGTAAGATCCAATGGACCAGGAACCCACCACATGACATCTAAACCAAAGGTTACAGGTATGTGTTAATCCCAAATTCATAACCAGAATTGTAGCTAGAACTAGCAGTCCATATACTACATTACTACACCACATGAATCACTAATTTGAATTAATTTAAGCAGCATTTCACCCTATGCAGGCCTCCGATGTGCCATGAGCACATGCAACAAGTTTCTTAATTTTTCAGATTATGCGTTATAAGTTTATTCATCAATTTTAATGCATAACCGGTGATGTCATAGCATATTAGCTGCTACAGAGTCTTTGCAGTATTTCACCAAGTTTTAAGTTTTGCCTTTCAAAAAAAAAAAAAAAAGAGTTAAGTTTTATAAATTATAATGGTATATCATAAGAAAAACGACAATGTGGGTTTAAAAGCTGAATCCAGATTGGAAATGCGTGGTAAAGTTTCCGAGTTAAACCAGCTTTCTTTCAAATAAAACTTTATGGAATTTGAAACACGGCAAAGATTGTCAACACTTCTCAGCTTAAGAAAACAAAGGGACAACTGCCCAGTGCCCATAAGGTTGTTTGACAGAATACGCTTATTTCTTGCTATCATATAACTCAGTAACATGTTTTCAAACCAGAACACTACAAGTCTACAACCATCTTCACATTTATTCTCGTTACTTATGTACCTTGTAAATTTGATAAGCATTTGCTAACACCTTGAGATATACAGATAATTCATCATCACTTCCTGCCATCACATTCTGTTCAGAAATATGTAAGAATCACTGTCAATACTCTGGAGTAGGTCCAGGATATATAAGCCTCTATTCTATGGTTCTGAGGCTACTGACAACCAGCCACTTCAAGGACAATGCTTCAATTTACTTAAAACCACATTCCTATAAGCATTCAATCGACTTAACAACAATATTCTGTGACTGCAAGGAAAACCAAATTGACTCTTTTATTGTACTCCATTTTTATCAACAAAGATATACAGCAAGTCAACGGTCACCCATCCAACAGATGTCACAGCTCATGATATGCGCATTAGACATTAGTAGATGCCTCGTTTCTTCTTGAGAGTTCAAGAAAAATACAAAGAAGGACAAGGAGAAAACTGACATCAAACTCCTCCAAGAACAATTCCACAAGCACACTAGTTGAATCTTTGATGAATAAACCGGCAAGGTGTGCTCAGAAGGTCAACTCTTCACCGTCACTACTGTTTGGGAAGGTGACACACTTGAACACTTTGCAATTTGAACACAGAAGATAACCAATCTGCACTACAGTTTCAAATGAGAGGTTTTCGTTATTGATATCATCAGGTTGCTTGGGATGGATCCACAATAGCTGGTAATTTGGGAGGAAACATGGGGTATACCTAATTCTGGATGGCAGCCACTACAAAATTATAGCAGTATAGAAGACTAGAGCCACCAATATATCATATACATGATTTTAGGCACACAAAACAAAATTGAATGAGAGTTATTCTCCATTTTTTCTGTGGACGAGGAATCATGCCTTCTACATATTCTTGTGCCCCATGTATAAGCCTACTTCTTGTCTTTCTACGCAACCATCCATTGATTTCCCTTTCTCACATGATATTTAAGCCAAGCTATATATCTTAGCTTTGTTAAAGGAGCCATCATCCGGCAAACCAAAAATATAATTTCTTAATTTACTTAAGCATCTTTTGTTGTTCTCAATATATCATTCCATTGAGCAGTTAAATCAGCTATGCATATCTAGTCTTTGTGGTTAAAAAAAAAAATGGCAGGCAACCACTTTAAGTATCATAAACTGATGGGTGAAGAAAAAGGTATTCAGTGGACTAGAAATCAGGAATTCAGGAATACGCACAGCTCTACAAGATGGGCATCGACGGTAGATCCGCTTGTTATCAGCTTTGACATTGGTTTTTTGTCCTTTACAGAAATCACAGAGCAACCATCCTTTACCATTGCAAGGTTCACACATGATCCTTCCATCAACCTTCAACACAACTGGAGCAGAGTAAGAATACAGTCAAATGAGGCCAACCGGCCAAACGTTAGAATAATCCCTTAGCAGGTAAACAAGAGGAAGAGGGCCAGCCCAATTTAATTGAACAATTAACAGATCACTGGAAAGAGGTATGTTTGATGAGGAAGCAATATCAGCGGAAGTGTGTTAGTTATAATTCCAACAGGAGTGAAGTTGCAATAGTAATATGCATGCGGATACAGAACAAAATTGGGGGAGGAAAGCAGAGGGTGAGAATGACCTCTGGTTGCAGTTGCTGGAGAGGTGCACAATACAGGGGTTTGCAGAAACGCCTGGTCCCTGAACCTACTGCCCCTGCAGCTGCTGGCATTGGCATAACGGTAGTTCTTACCAGATTGAGCATCGACGGCGGTATCGTCATGCAATTCGCCATTATTTTATTTTTGGATAATACGCAGAGTTGGGGGCAAGAGGCAAGTGGTATATAATTTTCGATTTGCGTCAGCAATATCTTATCTTAGTAATTAGTAACAGTAATTCTCAAGGAGAAGAATACTTCAATATAAAGGCCTGCATTTATTCCAAATTACAAAAAGGCCACCAGGCAGGCAGGGATGCACCAACACCACCGGCATGGCGTGATTTAGGAGCAACTTTGGTGCTGGTTGAGTAACGTGTAACGCATGGTTGCAACAGCCCGAGTTTAGGCAGAGATGGGGGCATATGCAGTTGCGGTCTTCCTCTCCGTCACGCTCTCCGTCTCATTTGTGTTGTCTCATCGTACGCTCTCTCCAACTCGGGACACAATCTCATCATCAGCATGCCACCCCAGCAACCAGCCCCACCCTCCTACTCTCAGATCCTCTCAGTTCACCGTCCTCATCAACGGTTATTCCGAGTCCCGCCTCCCTCTCCTCCACTCCATCGCGACCACTTACTCTGCTTCCCCGCTGGTATCCTCTGTACTGGTCCTCTGGGGGAACCCCTCCACCCCACCCCTTACTCTAGCACAATTGGCCTACAATCTGTCAGTCTCCTCCACGGGCAGCGCCGCCATCTCCCTCGTGCCCCAATCCTCGAGCAGCCTGAACGCCCGATTCCTGCCGAGGTACTCGATCCGGACACGGGCCGTTCTGGTGTGCGATGACGACGTGGAAGTGGATCCCAAAACGGTGGACTTCGCCTTTAGGATGTGGAGGTGGAACCCGGAGCGTCTGATTGGAATATTCGTGAGATCGCATGATATAGACATGACAAAGAAGGAGTGGATTTACACGGTCCATCCGGACAAGTACTCCATAGTGCTGACCAAGTTCATGATGATGAAGACGGAGTATTTGTTCAAGTACAGTTGCGAGGGTGGGGCCCCGATGCGTGAGATGAGGAGGATGGTCGATGAGATGCGTAATTGCGAGGATATTCTGATGAACTTCGTGGTGGCAGAGGAGACCAACGCGGGGCCTCTGATGGTGGAGGCCTCAAGGGCCAGAGATTGGGGAGACCCGAGAAACGAAGGCGAAGACGGTGATGGTGGCGGGATTAGAGTGGTGAGAGAGGTGGGGTTGAGCAGTAGGAGAGCGGAGCACCGCAAGAGGAGAGGGCATTGCATAAACGAGTTCCATAGAGTTTTGGGGCGGATGGCCCTCAGATACAGTTACGCCAAGCTGGTTTCTTCTGTAGCTGAGCAAGGGCTTTGCAGGAAAGGCGCCAATTTGGTGCCTTGTGATCACTGATCATTGCAAAATTAATGAGCTAAATAAAATCACTTTTTTTCTTCTTTTGGAAAATATTAATAATCACATTCTCTCTTTTTTTTTTTGTTTATACTTACTAATCCCATTTACTATCACAAAATGCAACACTTATACACTATGAATGAAGATGAGCCTAATGCCTAAGTTTTCAGTTTACACTAATAAATAAAGTTACCTAACCTTACTCTTTAGTCTTTAGTTAAAAGACTCTAATCAATCAAATTTAATCCGTACGAAATTAAATACTCCTGTTAATGTCACTAAAAGATTGATTAGTTAACCTGAACAGAATGTCCAAAACATAGTTTTTGCATGGTAGCTAGCTTAATAGTCTAATAATCTATTAATGGAAGAATTTCACTATTCATAATTGAAATTTGAAAAAAAAAATTTCCTTCAGATCGAAATGCCAAAATGTTTTAAGTAAAATATATAAAGTTTAGAGACTTTTTATGTGAATCTATTTCAAATTTAATGTAAAATTTTTTTTATTAAATTAGAAAAAATGTTTTTCATTCCAAGATATGTTAAAAATTGAACAACTAATACTAACATAATAAGCATTAGTATATAGTAGTCCTATATAGTATCATAAAGTATGAGAAATCAACCACCAAGAATATTGAATGTCCTAAAAGATCAAACTAGTATTGTGATTAAAAAAAATAAAATCGACAAAATAAATTGTAAACTGAAATTGAAGTAATGCTTACTACAGAGGAGCAGCGAGTAACTTTCAATTAAAATAGTATGATTAATTCAAAAATAAATATGGTTAAATCAATCAATTCGGTTGATTTTAATTATAAATTTTGTTCAATTAACTGAATTAATTGATTTTTATTTAAACCATTTACGAGTTATAACATACATAGTAATATAAACATATTATATTGTTATAATATAAATATATATTAATATCCTACAATGTTTCTATTTGATTATTGATTGGATTAATTGATCAAATTTGATTAATTGACTAAAATTTTATCTTCCATCGGTTAGATTAATTTTCACAACACATCTTGATAACCGAATTAATTGTTTACACACCCACTAATATAGCTTAATAGTAAAAAAGGAAAAAGCAAAATGATAAGAGACTTAAGAGTTGAATTAAAAATTACGGGCCTTCGAGGGTGCTGGGAATCAAAAGGCCAGAAAGTAGGGCTGCAGGTTAGGCCCAGGCCCATAGAGATTGGAGAAGGTAGTAGAAACTGCAAAAGAAAAGGAAAGCCGGAGACCGGGAAGGGACTGGGAACCGTGGTGGCATATTTAAGAAGCGAAAACGAATAATAACCAGGAAAACCAAGAGAGGAAGAACAAGAAGGCAAATACAAAGAGTTCCTAACAGTGTTTTTGGTGTCAACTCAATTCTCAATAATCAGTTTTCTTTTTCCCATGAAGCGTAAGGATATCGATGATGATTTCTCTTTCCTTCCACGCTCCACAAAATCTAGGAGACTGGTGCGTTTTTCTTTCTTTCTCTCTCTCTCTCTCTCTTTTTAATTTAATAATTGTTATTTTAATTTCTTCCTGATCCATTCCTATTCTATTTGCTACACATAATCTGTTCAAAGTTGTAGAAAATTATATTCTTCTTTATCCATGTTGATGGCCTCACACTCAAACTCTGGAATTAGTTTCTTGGATGAATGATTTATGATTGCTTTTAATGATTCTAGTAATACCATTCTACTAATCAATTGGACTTGGAATTGGGATTGAATTGAATACTTTGTATATCTTTAATTTTGTTTTCCTATAGTTATGCTTACTTCATCGCCCTCTCTTCTGGCAAAGACAAATTTATGATTCCTCTGGGCTTTATATATTGTAAAGGGTGGTGGTGACTTGCTATCAATCATGGAGGAGGATCCAAGTACTAGGGTTCCTCTGCGACTAGAACATCAAGAGAGGCCCCTTGCAACCACTACCAACAATACCCAATCAAATGCCTCCTTTGTTGATACAATGCCTTCATCCCAAGTGAACGCCATCCTGCTCTATAATTCGTCCAACACCCCGTTTCTAAAATCTCCTACTTCAACAGACTTCTCCATCGTCATTGATTCTGCCTTATATCCAGGTTTAAAGGGTATGTACCTCAGTCTCCATATTGTTCTTTGCGTAATCTTGTGCTGTTAACTCACAATGCGATTAAATTTTGTTTGCTCTCATCATTATAATTGTTCTAAAATGTTCTGTGAATCACTGTTCTGATCATCCTACTGCTTTTTATATGTTCAATTTGGGTCCGGCATCTGATACAACTCTTCCTATTGGCAGAGAATTACTCAGTACAAATTCTGCTTGATGTTGCTACTTCATGTTGTGTTGGTTAGAAGCAGTACAATGGAAGATTCATTTGATGAATTTTTTATTTAAACCACACGCAGGACTTGCTCCGTTTGCCCTTTTTTTTTTCCCTATTGCATGTGAATTCCTTTTCTATAAAACTTGTATATCTATTGTTAAATTAATCTTCTTGTTACTTTTAAAAAAAAATAATCTTCTTGTTGGCAGATCGTTTACTTTATCCAGGAGATTCATGGGCAGTGAAATCAATGGAGGATAAAGCAATGGATAATGGAAGCAGCAGCGGACCAAATGACCGCTTGGCTGTTGTTCCCTGGGTTGCACCTCAACTTGCATTAGCCTCTGGAACAGAGACAGAAATCACTGCCCCCTTGCAGCCAACGGAAGCAGAAGATACGGACAGTGAAATGATGGATGCAGAAGAGAGCGGTGTTAGTAACTTTGCAGGGAAAGGTTTTCGGGATGGTGAAATGGTGGAAGGAACTGAAGCATTTCAGCTGCGGCAGCAGCAGCAGCAGCAGCAACAGCACTGTTTGATGCCACAGTTCCCTCAGAACATGAATACTCCAGTTACTTGGTAACAAATTGGTTGAGTTGCCTTAACGCTTGGATTTGGTAATCTTGATTTGTCCTTCCAAAGGTAGTTGGTACATATAGAATAGAAGACATGGGCACTGAATACCTCTGAACAGATTTAGATGATAACACTAGTTTATCAGAGAGAAACTTGTGTAGAATTCTTGTAGGATGAGTTTGTTCGATCAACATAATTGCCTGTACCAGCATTCAGCAGTATGTTATCTTGCTAAGGTTCTGGCGCGGGGAAATGTTGATTTCTAACATTTATTACTCAATTCCCACAAATGATATTTGAAAGCAACTTGAAACTTTGGGGACCCTGTCCCTGGTGGAGGTAAAGTGCTTATTTGGAATGTTAATTCTGGTTTAGTCTAGTTACTCTTAAACAGATGTTCACCCCTTCAAGCAAACCATCTTCAACTGGATAAAAGCATTTTTAAATCATAAAAGAATTACACAATACTAGACACAGATGAAAGCATTGATTGAAAAGAAAAAGAAAGAATGTACTTAGGCCTACTAGACCAGCTTCAAGGAATAATCTCAGCAAGTCTGAAGAGCAAAAGCAATATTTAATTTGCGAGCAGTTTAACACCCCCTGTTGCCATGGTGAGGGCAAGGAGGCTGCCTGAATTACTACTCGCATATACGCTATACTCTGTCAAAAGATGTACCAGCCTTTCTTACCATAGAAATCCGCTAACCATAGCGAAATTCGGTGACAAGGTTGGCGGGTTTGGTATCGGGAGCTGCATTCATCTCCATGGCACGGTTCTGGTTAGCCAAAGAGCCAAACTCCAGCCCCGTTATTCAAAATCGAATCAAACAACATCCTACGAATGACTAACATAAACAAAAGCAGATGGTCTCTCTCTTCGTCTATGTTGAAAAGAAACTTCAACTGCTATGCTAAACCTAATTTTAATTGAGCCAAGAGACGAGACATCTAGGATGATATATAGCCGCCGGGACAGGATGGCGATTTGCTAAACCCTTCTTTTGTTTTTAGAACACGTACTGACGACTTTGCCCTCTAACAATCTCGCGGTCAGTTTGGACCTCGGAGTCAAGTAGCTTGGCATTTGGATCCAATCAAGTGTAAGGCCTAGGGCGGGTTTGGTGGGCCTTGTACATTGATTTTCATGTTTTTTTAATTAGTAATTTTTATAAATTAAAAGTCAAATTTGGATAATTGTTGAATTTTATTATTATATATTTTTATCTTCTTAAACTCTTTCATTTTACTTTTAATTTATTAAATTTTTATATAAAATAATAAAATTGATGAAAACTTACTCTTTTCATTAACGAAATATTTCGATATTGTTATTTTTATTTAAAAATTAATAAAATTAAATATATATAAAGTGGGAAAATGTAGTAAAATTAAAAAATAATATAGAAATAAATTTAATCTTATTCTAATATTTGTTTTACAAGTACTAAATGATGCAGTAATCATTTAATAAGGAAACATAAACACTATTATTAAAGCTAAATAATTTAGTTTAATCAAGTCAAAAATTAAAAATTTTAGAATAGGCTTGACCAAATTTTGTCATCATTGATGAAACCTTATTTAATTTGCACACTTTAATCAATCATTGTGTAATTTAAAAAAAAATTAAATATGCATGAATAAGATGAAGACATAACTAGGAAAAAAAATTACCTTACATATACATTCTCAAATTCATAAAATGGAAATCTTGTAATTAATCAAAAAGTAGTTTAATGGATAAAGAAAAAATCCAAAACATATTGGATGACTTTATCCATTATGATTGAATATTAAAAAGAGATCATTCCAATGAATTTAAATAAAGATTCGAAATTTTATTTTTAAAATTAGCATTGTCTATTCTCATATCCTTATTTCTATTCCTTCACTTTCGAAATTAAAGGAAAGTATGATTGGGCATTGATGATTAAAAATGGGGGAGTTGGGACAAATGACATGAAATCTAAGAGGTTTAGACGTAAATAAGAGGGAGCCAAAGGATGGCATTGCAAAAGGATCAAGAAGATAAAATGGGACAACGGTTTTTAGGAAAGCTGACGTGGCAGTGAACGGATTTTAACTCGGCACTGACTCAGCGATTGCCGCCTAAAGTAAAACTCTGCTGAGAAAAAAAAGGAAGAAAACGATCGGAAGTGTTGGCATATTGAAAGTGTTTAGACGATGAATAAGAAAAAGAAAAAAAAAAGTTTGACTTTGTTTAAGAAAAAAAGAAAAATATTTGAAAAAAAAGCAGATAGAGATATGAGAATCGGAAAATCCGAGAAAGAGATTTTATTTTTGCCAAACACAACAAATATGGTAAAAAAGTAAATCCGTCTTTCTCCTGAAATGTCTGAGTCGTTACGTCATAGCTTTATCCGGTATGTAATGTATACTGTTTTCAATTTTCTATGATTTTACGTCTCTGCATGATAGGTATGATTTTGGTTGAGATTTCTTTTTAAATAGGGAAAGAGCATTCGTATTCTTGAGAGGGGTGAGATCTGATCAAATAATTTAGACGAGCAGAGAAAGAAAGAGTTGCAATATGAGAATTGAAGAGAATGGAGTAGAGTGTGCATCCATCAAGCACCTCGTCTTTGCTTACTATGTCACTGGTCATGGCTTCGGCCACGCCACTCGTGTTGTTGAGGTGTTTTCCTCTTTCCTTTTCAAATTCTGCTTAACGGTTGATCCAGTCGAGTCAGCTGATCACTTACGGCTGTCAATTGATATCTTGTAGGTTGTTCGGAATCTGATTGTGGCGGGGCATGATGTGCACGTCGTCACCGGTGCACCTGACTTTGTTTTCACTTCTGAAATTCAATCCCCTCGCCTCTTCCTTCGCAAGGTTTTCTAATTACTCGATTTTTTGCCCCTCACGTTCTTATCATCGTATTGTACTATACAGTATATAATAAAATACAATACAGATGAATATGTTAAGGATTAGACAACTCCTTCAACAATTGTGAAAATTATGTTCTGCTCTGTTATACTAATCTATGTTTCTCCCTATGAAAACATCAGCTAGTTTTAGACTGTGGAGCAGTTCAGGCAGATGCATTGACCGTGGATCGTCTTGCCTCCCTGCAGAAGGTATTTCAAACCTTCAATTTTATTTTTTATCTTTTATAGAACATAATGTTATGGTCCATCATTCTTTTTGTTCAATTCCATATCACTCGGAAAATTATTTAACAAATCTACAAATTTATATTCCCTCCCTCCTTGTTTGTACTTTTTTAAGTTGGGATTTTTGTAATATTTTATAATTCGATTTATTTTTTTTATATTTTAGTATTCGGAAACAGCTGTGCAACCTCGAAATTCTATTTTGGCTACAGAAGTGGAGTGGCTCAACTCCATCAAAGCTGACTTAGTGGTTCGTGCTTTGAAGTTCCTTCACTTATCAGCCTTTGAATCGAATTGGCACTTGGAATCTTTCATATAACTATGTTAATAAGCAAAATGGAAAAGAGATGTAAAATTGTGTATTGTGGCAGCTAATATTGATCATGCCTTCCAAATTAAAACCAAGTTTTTGGTGAATGGAAACAGGTTTCAGATGTTGTTCCAGTTGCATGCCGTGCAGCAGCTGAGGCTGGAATTCGCTCTGTCTGTGTTACCAACTTCAGGTGACATTCTTTTCAAGGAACAAGTACACCTTTGTATAAACTTAATCTGTTTCAAACCCTTCATCCCTGATAATATGTTTTGAGTACCAGATGTTTATGACCCTTGTGAAATGGTCAGATCCTAAAATTGTTTGTCTACATTTATAATCTTTACACATCTATGGTTGCAGCTGGGACTTCATTTATGCAGAGTATGTAATGGCTGCTGGATATCATCATCGTTCAATAGTTTGGCAGGTGATTAATATATTCCACTTGTTTGATGCATATATTCTATGATCATGGTTTTCTGCTTGGGTTCCTCTTTTCTGTTATGAGGAAGTTTTTTCCAGTTGCTAATTAGGTGTTTTTCCACTGAACTTTTCTGGCTTTAGTTCTGCAGAGAGATATTCCTATTAAGAGATTTCCATCTTGTGAATAGTAGAGAAATTTAAATCACATACTCAAACATGTCATTCAAGTTTTTGCATCCAATATTTGTATACAGTTGATTGCTTTTACGTCAATAACACCTTTAAAACATGTTTGCATGACTGATTGTTCGAAGAGGTAAATTCCAGACCAAAGAGTTGAAGTATGAAATTTCTGTGACAATTATTTCAAAGTTTGTGATTTTGCTAATCTCTTTAGACTTTGATGCAGATAGCAGAGGATTATTCGCATTGTGAGTTTCTCATCCGTCTCCCAGGATATTGTCCAAGTATGTATGCAGACATCATTTCCTATGTTTTCATTTAGACCTTGATTATATATTTTTTGAAGTCTAATAATTGGTGTCTGATTGTCCTTTATTTTCACAGTGCCTGCTTTTCGTGATGTTATTGATGTACCTCTAGTTGTTAGGAGGTTGCACAAATCTCGCAAGGAGGTTGGTACTAGGCAGTAACAATACCTATTACATTAGATAATTTACATCTTGATCTATGTTTTCAAAGGATTGCTCTTTTTCCCTTCCTACTGGATCTAGGTGAGAAAGGAACTTGGAATTGGCGAGGATGTGAAGCTAGTTATTCTTAACTTTGGTGGACAGGTAAGTAAATTTATCAATTCAAGATAGTTTTCTCTAATTTTATTTGGACTATTTGGTGTAAACATCTATGCATGGGAAGTTTTGGTGGAATTATATTTTGGCTTCTTCTCTCTGGGAGTTGAACTACATAATTTTTACCTCTATGTGTGCTTCTTCAATCATTTTTTTGTTGTGACTTGGCTGGTGAGATCTTTTATCGGATGCCCATAAACATGAAGTATCATTTTTTTTGAATGATTATATTCAAATAATTGCTAAAGGAGTTGTTGGCAGTTCAGATATTGTTCAATTGTGCAAACAGTTTAACAGCTGAACACATTAAGTGCTTTTTATTTTCCAGATCAGTGAACGAACTTGATATGCAGGAATTTGGCTATTAACCTGAGTATCAATGAACGTAGAATACATTTATCATTTTGAAACTAGAGTAATCTAACAAGTGAAATTGTTGGCTAGTGTATTGTATGACATTATGAATGACATTTTGATGTGTCGACAGATGACTGTTTGATTGAAAAGTAAACGTATTTACTCAGTTGCTTACATGCAGCCTGCAGGGTGGAAGTTGAAGGAGGAGTATTTACCTTCTGGTTGGCTGTGCCTGGTATCTTGAATATTACTTGCATCTTTTGGCTGCACATTCAATTGTCTCTACGAATTGCTCTTCTGT